CACCACAATGCAGTAATGAGCCACTGTTCAAGCCCTGTCTCTTATACACATCTAGATGTGTATAAGAGACAGCACACACACACACACACACACACTCTCTCGTATTGTGTTTACCCACTTTTATTGTTGACTCGTATTGTGTTTAGCCACTCTTACGGTTGACTCGTATTTTGTTTACCCACGCTTATTGTTGTCTTTGTGTGCGCGTCTGCGGGCATGCGTGTGCGTGTACGTATGCACGTGTTGTCATGTTCGCTAAACACAACTCCACCAAAAACAGGCGACTGTGCCAGACTTTTTCGTCGGACTTTCAACGACTCATCAGGAGGTTGAACGTCGACAGTCTGCAGAGGATGCAGTTGAGTGCGTGCATGCATGTGCATGTGTTTGTGCGTGTGCTTGCTCAGGTGGGCAGGCATCCACCTGACTGCGTGTTGCCTTGTTCGCTATACAGCACGTCCGTGTGAGTGCTCGAATTTTACAACGTCATACACCACGTCGCTGTGAGTCTGTCGGCGTAGAGGCATTGTTTGTCCGCTTCTTCCCCTGGAGGGGTTAGTCATCAGGTCGCTCACTGAGAACGGCCAGGCCCTAAACTCAAAGGGCGTTGAACTCCGTGACAGCAAGGGGCCCGTCTCAACCACTGGGCGCAAGGCCTGGTGGTCTTTACCACGACTTACAGGCCCGCACAGACCCTCTTCCCACGGGCGCTTTGATCCGGGCCGCCGGCCGGTCCGACGATCCAGGCGATCCGACAGGGCGGACAGCCTGGATCATCACGCAATTTTGAAGTATTAAGATCGGGCGTCAATCTGGGCTGGCCCGACGTTCGGATCGCCGCATGAACGACTTTAAGATTGTGCGACGATCCAGGCGGTCCAACAGGGCGGACAGCCTGAAACATCGCGCAAGCAACAATCCAAACCGTCGAGCAAGCCGGTAGGACCGCGTACGGCCAGGATGCCCGGCTGCTCACATTAGCGATTTCTAGAAGTGCAGGTATGTATTTCTAAACTTAACTCACAGCATACTGAAAAGGGTTTCTCTGATTTCAGGATCCAGTCCCTGTCCTGTAGTCCCAGTGTACAAACCGTCCCAGTTCCAACTGCAAGTAGGTGTAGAGGGAGGGATCCATTGATTCAGTACGCTGGGAGGCCAAGCCCGGCCCGATTCCAGTCCTGTCCGGTGGGTTCCATGGGCTAGCGGGCCAAGGCGAGTCCAGTCCAGTGTCAAGCAAGTCACCAGCCCAGGGTCCCAGGAAAGTCGGTCAATATGCAGGAATGCGTCAAACCAACAAACCCAACCCAGCAGGCTACCAGGTATGGGAAGCTGATCGTCACGGCAGTACCTGTTGTCGTCAACACACAATTCCACTGTCTGATACGGAAACACTGGTGCACAGCCCTTGAAGGCTTGAAGTGACCAGCGAAGCAGCAAATGAGGGTGATCGCAGCCGCGATAAACAGGCACTGGGTGCCGTCGCTTAGCCTAGGGTGGGAAGAGAGAGGACAGTCACACAGAGAGAGAGAGAGAGGGAGAGAGAGAGAGAGAGTTCATCATTGGTTGTTGCTCGCTGGCAGTCATAGCTTCCCAGCTCTGTGTAAACAAACTTGTCATATAACATGATGATTCCCAGGCAGTTTCAATTATCATACCAGGTATTTTGGGTTTCCATCTCTCGTGTGCTGAAGTGTGCCTCACTGTGACATGAGATGTTGGTTTGAAGTCTGGGCTACTCATATATTCATTGAGTTCAGGTCTTTAAAATTCTATAAAATAGTAAAAGCCTAACCCCCTCGTGATTGCCAATCACCATGGCAGTGATTTCGAGATTGGCGCTGACGAACACTCGTTTGGCTCAGGTCCTGCCGAGGCCCCTCTATGCTGGACTCCATCATCACCACGAAAGTTTGTCGAAAAACAGAAAAAGAAAACACGAAGGGGCAAATGCTTTCAAGTTTAGCCCCATGTTCAGAATGAACAACTTTTAATTTAGCAGTTCCCGAAAAATTGCAAAACTGGCAATCCTAAAACTGCATCCACCACAGCGGCTGATGGCTGGCACCATTTCAAACCGCCGCAAAACTTGCACATTTCCGAACTCACGACATGACAAGAGCGCCACTTTGTCTTTCCTTGCCTATTTCAAACTTAAAGTGTGACACAGCCACAGTTTCCTCAAACACAAAACATACTTGCGATAGCACGGAGTCTACCAAGTAGCAGGGGTCCATAGACTGGCTACCAGAACCCAGCATGTCGCTGGCCTTTGTCCGATAGGAATATTAGCTTTGCCTACTGTGCTGCAACCTCAGGTCGGTAAATGAAGCCGGGCCTTCCATCAACCAGAACCCAGCAAGCACCGTACACCAGCGAGTGGAACACAACCACCAAAACCCAGACCCACAAACGAAGCTTGTGCTCCCTCGGCCCTTGGTCTGCTCTATGCATGCGCCACATTACGGACATGCACGACAGGAATGAAAAGAATTGAAGAGACGTCAGGGGAAACGGGGAAAGGTTTCTAAGTGTGAGAGAGTCAGTTATTTTTACCGTCGTGTACACTGGAAGAGAGGCCTGGGCAGGTCTGCCCAGACCATCTGTCTGAGTGGCGATTGTGCCCCGGACTTGCTTTCTCAGAATAACGATTGCATCCACGAAAACATGGCAGCGTGAATGCCGTTGGTTAATGGCAAGCAGGTGCAAAGGCAAACAAATGCCACCAGTATCGGAGTTCAACTCCTCAGCATTCTTGGAAACTTCAAGCTGACAAGCCGCCATCCCGTCCTATCCTCGTTGTAGGACAGTATGGCCGTGTCGCAGCCGTGGCAGCGTCTGGAGAAGAGTGGTGCAGAGAACAGCACGATAAAGATGGTCCCAAGTTCATGAGAAAGAAGAAACCCAGCTCCACATCCTGCTCAGTCCCCACTGCTCATCGGCATTTTCCAGGAAAACTACTTTGACTTGGCCCAACTTCATCATCTTAAAGCAGATCAACAGGACTGCCGTACGACAAGAACGCAGGCTGCAAGCAAAGCCAAAGCCGGCCGCGCCCTCACAACCACGTTCGGAAGCTCAGTCCCAGGAAGAGGCCCTAAAAGCAGCCTACACCATAAAACACCTCATCATAATCATGCCGCTCGCAGGCCCACGACGCAGGGTTTCTCAGAAATTGAAACTGGTGTCAGCAACTCAATCCTGTCCTTGAGTTGTTTGGAGGTGAAGATCATTTCGTGGCGAACTGCAAAATATGGAGCACCTGCATACCATATCTACCGTCTTCCCCCGAATGGAATGTAGGGTCATTGTAGCTGAATTTCGCTCTCAACTTTCAGGCCCGATACAGGGATAAGGACCGTACGTTTTCTTCGGGGGAAGATGGTGATGAACAGTGGAAAACTTTACTTCGGGTATTGTTTTGGTTCGGCACGCTGAGAAACAGAACAAAGCGAAATGAGAAAAAGCTGCAAAAAAAACGCACGCAAGTACCCTCTCCAGTGGAAACGAAGAGAAAAGCCCCCCCCCCACCAGCAACCCACCTTGCTTGTGACCACCGCCTTTCTCTGCCACATGGCACTGCGCGCACTTCGTCTGTACACAACCAGCCGCAGGCATCACAACAACACAGACCACACACACACTGGTTGAGAACCTCTTCTATGCATGCTACATGATCAACGGAATTGTCTCATAGAGATACACGGCTACATAAATCGTTCATCAAGCCTCCCAACGCAGCTACAGCGTTCAAACCACCAATGTCAAAAAATGGCCAAAGAAAAGAAATGTGATTGCTGAGTTTCTACATATAAATTACACATCCTTTCTTCATCATCTTCTTTTCGTCCGTCAGACAGGATCAAAGGAGTCCGTGTGCGCTCGGACATGCACACCAGCAGACGCGCACGAATCAGCACATATGGCACCGGTTTTGCAGGCACCACACGCCGCACACAGTGCATTCGCACTCTGAACGTTTGTATGATAGTGTACGTGTGGATAAGCATATGTGTGCATGTGCCTATGTACGTGCGTATGTGCGTGTGTATGTCGGTATGTGCGTGTGTACAAATGTATGGGTGTATGTGTATGGGTGTGTATGGGTGTGTATGGGTGTGTATGGGTGTGATACTGTCCCTGAGTATGTGCGTCTGTGAGCATGTGGCTAGAGGTGGTGTATCTGTGATACGGCCCCTGGGATAATCTGTTATTATAGCTTAAGTTTCCCTAGAGAGAGAGAGAGAGGCAGGGGTCTGGAAAGGTGCGCATCTCACTGCTCCACATTGTCATGTTGCACAAACACCCCCCCTCTGTTCTTTTTTCTTTCTCGTTTTCCTTCTTCTCCCCCACTTGAGAGAGACAGAGGGGGTCTCTGGGGGCGGCAGGAGCAGTCTGCATCCCCTCACAATGCAAACCTCTCTCTCTCTAGAAAAAAATATGTGGAGGAAAAAAAAACAAAATCCGGGTGGCAGGTGGGCGGCGTTATGACAGTTGGGTGACCATTCCATTTTGTTTCCTTTCTTTTATTTTTGGCTCGGTTAACTCACCACTCGCGGAATAATGTATACTTAAGCAGTTACAGTCTTTTGCCAAAGACATAACCATTCCCATTTCAACACTGCAGTTTTTTTGTTTTATAAAATCTCAGATCATTGATGTACCGAGTTAGGCCAGCAACTGAGCGAGGCCAGTTGGTAACACCGCAAATTCCGAGACTGATTTCTTTTTTCCTGCAATTCATCCGACATCGCACCCCCTGTTCCCAGTCTAAACCACCCCTACGTGGTACTGGGGCAGGGGCCTCGGCGAGAACTGCCCTGAGTTCGATACCGAGCGGACCCGGCACGGGACGGACGCACCCGACTCTTTTTTGGCGTGGCAAGTTCGGGTTTAAAGAACCCGAAAGGTTTCCCGGAGGGTGGAATCTACCTACCTGTTTTCCCCACGCTATGCAGGGGAACGGAGGAGGCAGTGTTTCGTCCCCACACAGATGAAGGGAGAGGGGCGAGGAGGCAGACGTGAACAACCAAGGCCCGGCATCACATGATCAGTTGTTCCCCCTACGGGAAGAGCGCCGCGAGGCGACAAAGAGGCACGCACAGGACCTCGGAAGGATCCAGAAGCTCAGAAGGGAGAGCATAGACGGTTGGACCGTTCTCTCGGGAGGAGGGGAGAGGAGAAGGCAGCTGTTTTCATCCTTCGGCGAGGGGAGTAGAGTCGGCGACAAGAAGCGCCGGAGACAAGGGGACAAGAAGAAATGAACGCTAACACAAGTTATAGCAATAAACGACAAGATGTTTAGCGCAACTTAACCCCAGGAGGGCGATTAATTCACGTCACAAATCATCAATCGCTTACAACCTCAGTGCACACGGGTATACACACCGACAAGCACAGTATATTGCCAACGAATATATATCGATGAGTTATTGCCCCCCAACTCATCCGGAGGCTGCACACACACACACACACACACACACACACACACACACACACACACACACACAAGGACGGACTGAAAAGAGCACATCGCATACTTGAGCAGTACGAATCCGTCGGCGCTCGGTCGGATGAGACTAACTGAGCAGTCATTGGCATTATACTGGGAGAGTAAACCCATTCCGCCGGCATTTTCTACACCTACGCATTCCTGGGAGCGTAGTCATCGGTCCACCTCCGATTCGCAACACGAATAATTAGCCCTGACCGAACCCCATTCCTCTACCTCTGTCCAGATAGATAACACGGATGCAGCCTATTCCTTTCCTATTGAGGCAAGGGCAGTCAGCAGCGAGTACATGTACGATCGAAGGAGACGACTTACCTATCGTGGAGAATTCGCCCTCGAAGTGGTAACCCTCTGGACAAGGTGGTGTTCTTGACGGCGAGAACATTAGACGAAAACCAAAGTGGAAAGGAGGGTACACACGGAGATCCTAGATACGTGTGAGTGGTGTCGTGGCGTCATTACGGTCCCTTCCTTTCCTACCACGTGGAACTCGAACACCTGACGTGCTGATCAGGATCACAATCATCCACTAGGGCCTCCCTCCATCCCACCAGCCACAAGCAATACGGGAACAGCTTTCTTTGAAGAACGAGTAAAACGGCCTTCATGCACACGAGAGAAGAAAATCGCAATCGAATGGAGCGACTACAACCGCAATCCACTTCGATATGACGGCCATCAGCAACCTCTACTACACGAGGGGCCGTTGTGGCCGCCTACCAATATTGGCACGTACTGGTACGTCACCAACTCACCGCCACTATCCAATTCTGCCGGTGCCACAATCTCACCAGCAAGTATTCGCCCAGATACCTGCAAGTTGCAGGTGGTGAGGCGGTACGGGAGAAGGGAGGTGAAGGAGGAAGATCAGAGGGGGCGAAGGGAAGACGGGGGGACGAGGAAAACGGGACAGGGGAGAACATGAGAAGAAAAAGGGAGAGATGAAGAGTGGACGACGAATAGGAAAGTAGAGAAGGATGAGGAGATGCGGCAGCAGCAGCAGGATGGGAACCATAACTCATCTGTGGTGCTCCAAATCGAGCAAATAAAAAGGGAATTCGGCCATTCAGTCATCCTCTCTCTCTCTCTCTCTCTCTCTCTCTCTCTCCCCACACTGCATTCCCATTTGCACTCTCCTCGTTACCGACATTACGTACATCTCTTTCTTTTCGGTCACCTTACATCCTTTGCACCCACGCCCAAATAGCGGGGACACGAGCCATGTGTTGCCTGGATCTGTATATACGCCGCCGCAAGCTATAAAACGTGGTAAAAGGAGGGTCGTTTCAAAATACCGACAACGAAGACTACCCGTTTTCTATCCACGCAATACATCTTCGTTCTTCCTAGCACTGCGCAGGCGCTCTTTGAAGTGCACTTTCCATTATGGAAATCAGCCCGCGATTAACCTACTTCGCTTTCAGTGTTCCTATTGCAGAAGCGCGCGCCGACTAAAAATGAATCGCTCATAGCCGTCATTGCTCGATTTATTCGTGTCATCCTTAACTGCGCAGGGGCCATGCTAGTCTTCTCTCTCTGTATCGTTCCAATTTTGACGGATGTCCCAAAGGACAGCGCACATCCGACATGACAACGATGGGCGACCGAAACTCGTGAGTGAGACTGGCACAAATGGAAATCTAATTCCGATCGGGTGCGACACTGAGCCTGTTAATGCTACCAGGTCTGTTCGTTGTTTAGGGCGAGAGAAGATTTGCGTGCCCCAAGTGAAATTAATCAATTTACTTCGCGTCCATGGCAATAAACGATGCTGGGAAAGAACTCTCATCATCAAAAATAAAACAGATGACAGAGAAAAATAAAGGAAAAATAAAAAGATGTCTACATGAACACCGTACGACCGGCCGAGCACTGGAACGGTTCAGCAAGTATTCGGCGTAGAGGAGCCCATAGACAGCCCCCACGGTTCTTTTAGAAAACAAACACAGAAGTAATTTCGAAGAAAACAAGGACGGTCAAAAGAGGGAGCAAATTTCTTTAGAAAAGAGGGGGGCCGGGGAGGAACAACAGAGGCAACTCGTCATGTTACGGAAAGAAAAGCAAGCACCGCACACAAAGAAGAAAGCCGTGCGTGACAGGAGGGTGATGAACCCTCACAACTTCAACCCAGACGAACGGGGCGCGCTGCAGCATATGGCGGTAGACGACCACGAGAGGCAAAGATACACAGACCGAGAGGCAGACCAGCGTACAAAGAGGCAAAAGATGTAAACACTGATGGGGAAGGTCATTCACGAGGAGAGGTGGGACCTGATCCCACAGCACTGGGAAAAAGCGGCGACTTAATGTATTTCATGACAAAGGAGTAAGCGACAAAAATAAAGAGGGAAACAGAGACGCAGGAAAGGCAATGAAAGAAAGAGCACCCTGTCCCAGACATTACTCCCAATAAATCGCCACAACCTACGTCCTTTGCAACATTGTGCCCTTACTCCTCCCGACATGATAGAGTGAATGCGAGATTCGGGTTCGATATGTTATTCGGATGCTGGACGAGGGAAGAATCCAGCAACTCGCCTCCAAATGGGATCCATGAAATATGAAAGACAAGCATCAGTTCTTCGGTCCTCCGTCCTCACATCATCGGCAAGTCCAAATTCTACTACGTGGCTGGAAGGAAGAGCGATGTGAAACCTCGGGTTGGCGTAGACAGTTTTTCACCTTGAAGATTTTCTCCCCAACCGCCTTCTTCCCGGGCGGAGCCTCAGCGAATGTCGCCATGGTTTTCCTCTCCCTCGGCCTCGGGCGAGAGCACCCGCCCCTACGACTGTGGCGTCGTCCCCCGCACGCTGCGAGCCCACTCGTCGCTGGCTATGGCCGGCTGCCCGCTGAGCGTGAATCCGACCTGCCTTCGCCTCCGGGCCCAATGCTGACCTTCTGCCAGCGGGTGGGCTCACGATAGGGAGCTTTCCAGGCGTTCACTTCCACGAACGCCCGCTACTGGCACAACGTACACACCGTATATTCTCAAGACCAGAATGTGGGGTTACGAGAGGTGCAGGAGATAAACAGTCGGTGTGGGGCTTCGCTCCATCGACCAACTTATGGCCGTAGATTAGTTACCGATGCGGACTTGCTTGCAACGCGGTAGTCCGGCGCCACGAGACGGCAGAGAGACGAGACACGAGAAGGGAACTGGCTGGTGCACGCTTGTGCTAGGGCATCACAGACCTGACCGAGCCACGGAAAGGTTCATGCTCGCTCGGAACGCAGACAGCACCACAGGTAGTGGTCCGTGATGGCCGGACGGATGCTGCGCGTCGACAGGATGGCCAGCTCTTCCTAAGAAAGGGTGATTCTCCCCTCCAAGCTGTCCAAATTCACGCCAACTCAGCACAGCACGAACATCGCACCAATGCGGCTCCACTGTTCGGCATGAACCACATGGTTGTCTTTCCCTTTTTCAACTTCATATGTGCGTCGCACTCGTACGCAGAATCTAACCAGCCGCCCGGCGCCACACCCGTAAAGGCGCGCATAGAAAAACGTTATTCATAATAATACAGCCGCCAGGTCTCACATTTGGCGAGGACGAGGTCCCAGCAAAACGAGAGTGAGGGCCTCGCTGCACTACTCTCGAAATGTGCAAAACGAGAGTGAATCTTCCGCTAGAATATGGAAACATACACGGCCATGATTTTTGTCTTTTGTGCATGTCGAGAGTAGTGCAGCGAGGCTCTGAATCTTCAGCTAGAACATGGAAAGATACACCTCCATGATTTTTGTCTTTTGTGCATATCGAGAGTAGTGGAGCGAAGCCCATAATCAGCTGAAAGGACAATGCTCCTTTATTATCACAAAGGAAAGGGTGAGGCCGGGAATCCCTCAACAAACAACCCAGAAGAGAAATACTAGGTACCCAGCTTAGGATCAGGCGTTGGGAAGTGGGTCCAGGTATAGAAATGGCCAATACTAGACCGTTGTGCTGACCGTCTGCAACCCTGGCCCCTTGTCCATTCTGGGGAGCGTCAGTCCGGTTCCTATTCCACCGGCAAGTCAGATGGTATTACATTAAACCACCAGTACTTGGCCCATACATGGGCCGCAACGTGCCCGAGGAAGCGGGGGTCGTCCGAGTGGCAGCCCAGTCGGCCCAACAAGGCCGAGCTGCGGTATTTCCACACAGCACAAGAAAAAAAAAAAAATCAAAAACATAAATCCTATGAAGGGAAAAAAAAAAAAAAAAAAAAGGAATGGGGCCGAGAGGTTTCCTCTCTTGGAGCTTCTGCCCCATCCGGCAGGTACATGGCACGGTTACACGAAGGGGAGATGAGCTGCCTTCAAGATCAGCCACAGGTGCCCAAGTCAAGGAGTACTGGTCGTCATCGATGGAAGGTATAAACCCTATACACATCTCCTGCTTGGGATGAATGGAAAAGGCTGACTTATCCCGAATTATTTATTGAGGCTTATTACATATAGATCTACTACTTATAGGAGAGAATTTATAGTTTCACAATTTTTACTAGCTAAAGGGTTGGTCTGCGTTGGTTTCGGCCACCTTACATGGCATCGATGTGAGACATTATCGTTGACCGCGATGGCACTTCTCTGAACCCCGAAGAGAAGACGAGGATTAGAGGAATCTTGTCGGCTTGTTATAATGAAGGCCTCCTACCGGATAATCTCACGACGGACAGCACAGAAATTGGAGAAGATTATGTTCGAGTGGTCGTTAACCCGGAGGTCTATGCCATACAAGAGGAATGGCTCAGAGAGAACGGGATCTCGATGGTCTTCGGAGGTGACTCGAGATCTCTGTCGGTTAAATCAAAATTCATTTGACCCGTATATTATGAGGACGCATGGGCCCAGACTCGAGCCATCGATGCCCCACCAAAATGAGGGGTCTTCCACAACGAAGGCTTCAATCTGATTACCTATGTGGCCTCGTCGCCACAAGTCGCCACCTTGTTGCTTAGAAAGGAGGAGGATAAGATCGTTTTGGGAGACAAAACCTACACAATCTCATTCCGCCCGTAGATGTCAGAAGGAATTATTCGATTGGCGTGAATCCATGAAATTCAGGTTTTTTTGGATCAGATGCAAGCAAATACTAGTTGCTGCTCTGCCCTTTCTCACGTCAGCAGTGTCGAAGGCTTTCTGCACAATCCTGAAGAAATACGAAACGTACGCCGATTCGTCACAACCCGAACTCCAGAATGTGAGATTTGACTTGGAACTTGGTGCACGGGCCCGATATAAACCCTGCTTAATCATCGATATGCACCAGGGGGGATTCGTGGAAATTGAAGTGGTACACGCACAAACTCTGTGGTGCGGTGTATATCGACAACACTTCCACTCAAAAGACGATGATTCTTGTCCAGCGAAGGAACCCACGGTCAGTCAAACCAAAGGAGCAGAGAAGGATGGAGAAGGATCGTCAAGCACAAAGGGCGTAAAGGAGAAAAAACAGGGGAAGGGGAAGGGAAAGGCGAAGGGAAAGGAGGGCGACAGGGCGGGGAAGAAACCCCTAGAGGAGAAGTATATACAGAAGGAGAAAGGAAAGGATAGAGGAAGCACGAAACGGAGAATTCGAACCCCCCCCAGCCCCCTCCCCCCCTCCCCTCCAACGCACATGATCCCCCCCCCCTTAGTGATGAAGCTATGTTAGAAGCAGAGACAGATGACGAACTCAACAAGGAGAAACCCCTTCCGTTATCACCCACATGCAAGGAAGTTTTGCAGATGTCGGCCCCCAAATTGCCAGAGAAAAAAAAACAGTCGACGGAAAAACAGACGCCGAACTCTAAAGCGAAGGCAACAGTGGGTACTCGAAGAAAGGATAAAAAACATGAAGGATCAAAAGAATGGATCCCCACGGGGCAAAAGGTGAAAACGACAACGGAGGCTGGGATCTCATATCAGGATGAATCAGGAAGGAAGGAAATGCAGGATGCAGGGAAAGGAAACCAATACGAGGAAAATTCGAACAACCCTCCACTGCAGGGCGAGGGAAATGAAGCAGAAGAAACTGGCGATGGGAAACACGGACCTAAGAATCAGGGTCCACTTCTCGTACCAGAGGAAGACCACGAGGGGAAAAGAGATGAAGGCCAGAGCAAAACCCCCTTCTCCCCTGCCTTTGTTCCCCCTATCTCTGACGTGGCAGCCACCTCTACACCAAGACCCCCCTCTCTACCTTCGCCCGTTCTTGAAAAGATCCAAAGAGAAGATGCACAGGTGATACGACAACCGGCCTCCGAGAAAGAATCCGGCAACTCCGGGGGGGTCGTGGAAACCTTAGCATAATTGCTTTCTAAGGAAAAACAAAAAAACTATTGTAAGCTATATGACAATGGGTTATATAACGCATCCCCTTCTGACGAAGAAGATGACCAAGAAGATCCTAATAACCCGATTGTAAAACCGTTGCAACTAGATCCTAATAACCCGATTGTAAAACCGTTGCAACTAGATGGTAAGACGGTTCTGATCCCTTCCCTGGATGAAAACAAACTATCAAAAGTCAGCGGCTACATATGTTGGGGAAGGAAATGAGGAACATGATGACAACTCGCATTTTTTTTCCCCAGTTGGAGCCATATCAGAACGGTCTGAGGGCCACGAAAGTGGCCAAAGGAAAGACACCCCAACTCAAACCGCGGATGAAACTTTGTGGGCCCTCTTCCCTTTTTCCACCCCATATGCTCCTTCCCCTATTGGTTTTCCTGTTGTTGGTTCATCGGTAACTCTGTCTTCCAGTAAAAGGACTCGCATTGAAGGGTTGAAATTTCAGGCCAGATCTCTGGAAGAAGAAAATGCAGTAGCAACAGAGGAAGTAGTTAAAAACTCACCTAGGAAAAGGGGAAGAGCGTTGGCTGCCAAAACAACTAGGAAATCGCTAGCCTTAGCGGCTCCCATGAGGACGTTGTCGCGGCTGGATAAAGGTAAGGGACCGATCTCATACTATTTTATCCCATTGGTTTGTTCCCACGATGGCCTGAGACCTAGTAGAGTCCTATTACTGATGGGCAACGATGAATCGTTGTGCATACCTGCTATCCCTCTCTAGAGTCATCCAACACCCACGATGGTATGCAGTATAACAAAACATCAGGTTTTGCATTCGCTTGGAGACGTGGGCCTTTTACCAGAACCGAAAATGGCACGCTACCTGGTGGACACCCCTGAGGGTGGCAAGGTTCGTCTTCTCATCGCCTTTCTGGATATAACGTACATATCAGACAACAAAGCTAAATGGGATGAGTTAAAAATATATTGGTTGCAACTGAACTACGTGGCGGCTGCGCATTCAGACACGCTAACATGAATAAAGCTAGTGGCTAAACTCACTGCCAAGGTATTAGCAGATTGGCTAGCCGAATCAGATAACTTAAACACAGTTTTGGCAGAATCCTTTGCTGAAACTCTACTGTTGAGGAGGACAAGGAAAAATGTCAGCTTTATGGTAGGAGAAAATGTTGTCCCTGCCACATTAAACCCCCCCTCCGACACTAAAGATACAACTAAGCCCCACAGTCATATCCAAGACCAAAACGACCAGTCCCCCAAGGATGGTCCTACCAAATAGGATCAGACTGGGCAGTTGGAACATTCGAGGTTTAGGTGATCATAATGATACGTTTAAACGCAGCAGGTTGCTTGAATGACTACACTTTCAAAATGTTTAGATAATATGTCTTCAAGAAATCAAAATTAATATAGACAATTGGACAGACATTCAAAATTTGTGGGATGGTCCGCATATTTGGTCACCTGCAGATGGTACCAAAGGTAGAGCAGCCATCTTGATAGACAAAAATCTGGATGTGGCGGTAATAGACAGCTGTGCAGATACGAAATGAAGGTGGGCGTGGATGAAACTGGCGATTGCTGAGGAGGACTGGGCCGTCATGTCTGTGTATGCCCAAGTGGATTACCTCACTAGACTCAATTTTTTCTCAGATCTACCCAAAATTATCCCAGACACAGATAATTTACTCATAATGGGAGACCGAAACTGTATACTAAACCCGGGACTAGACTCCCCAACCGCCACCCCCATTAGAAACGATGCTCTACTGTTATCATCCTTTATGGAATCCCAAGCGCTGGTGGATGTATACAGGACCCTCAATCCTGACTCCTTTGGCTTCACATGGGTAGGGCTACGACCGTCAAGGAATACCGCGTGACCACAGAGGCGCCTAGACTTCATTTTGGGGAAGGGTGATCCTTGGGAACGGTGTGTTTGGGCAAACAAAAAGGTTTTATCTATTTCAAACCACCACCCCGTCCTTATGAACGTTGTCGCGCGTGGCGGTCCTTCACCCCTCTGGGAGCGCTGAACCTCACGGTCGTGTCACGCAAGATTTATTTTCGTAGAACAACTCG